GGGGGGGGGGTCCGTAATTCTTGAACAACAAAGAGAAACATGGGACAAATAAACGAACAAAAAATACAAGAACAGTCTACATCAATAGATGGAAACATACGCGTATCCGTGGGACAAGTCTTGCCCAACCCCCCCCAAGTCCCGCCCACGAACAAATGCAACCAACAACTGAAGACGAAACACCGCCAAGATCAAATAATCCAACACTCAAAAATACCTTAGCACCAGCGACGAGGAACTCCATGATCGCGGACCCGGTGTGCCCCCTCAGCCCGTACTGCTCCAGCCTCGCCCCGCCGCCCGCCGTCGTCGCCGCCGCCGCCGCGTCCCCCTCGCCACCTCCGCTGCTGTCGTTGTCGTGAGCGGCCTGCCCCTTGCACAGGGTGCGGATGCGGTCGACGAGGCGGTGGAGCAAGCCCTCCTGGTCCAGGGCCTCGACGCGAAGGACCACGTCCATCTCCGGCCGGTCGTCGCCGTCGACCCCGTACGAGGCCGGCGGCTTCTTGTCGAGCTGGAGGACCATGTGCTTGCCCTGCATCATCTCCACCTGGGATGTTGATTCACGGTGGGGCAGGGGCCGGGGGTCAAGCCAATGCTTTTGGTTCGTGGTTGTAGGTGTGAGCTAGGTGGCGGGGGGGGCGGATCGGGGATGATTTTGGTTCTCTTGCGGTGCAAAACGGAGGTACTGTATGTACGGTCAAGTTTTCCTGAATGGATTTTCATGAGGGTAGGGAGAACGGCTATATTAAGTATGCTGCTGAGACGCGCACCACCAGCACCAACACATCCAACAGCAACGGGAACACACTACTGGTGTACAGCAGTACCACCATCGTCTTCAGAAGCGAGAACCGATCCCAACGCGCGGGGCATGATCCAAGACCCAACAACCAACGGGCAGAAACAGAAACAAGAAACACAACACACGCACACTGGCCGTTGCTAGCGCGGTCGATGCTACAAACTAAAAATAAACAATGACAAAGAGACAAGACCTGTCTAACGATGTCCGCCGCGGAGGGCCTCTTCCCGCTCTCCTTCTGCAGCATCGACCGGCACATGTTCTTCATGGCCTCCTCGCCCTTCGGGGGCCCCCACGCGTCACCCCCCGGGAACTGCAGCCGGTGCGCATTCGTGAGCACCACCGTCCGCTCCATCTTCGTGCCGAAGGGCGGGTGGCACAGCTCGAACATGAGCATGCCGAGGGAGAACATGTCCGTCTTCTCGTCGTATCTGCAAAAAAAAAAAAAAAAAAATGAGGAGAGAGGCGGACAGAGGCAGTCGAGGCGGGAGTAGTGATTTATTTTTTCACTTTTACGGGGGGGGGGGGAAAAGGGGCAATGAACGTTAATGTTTCGTCCTATCTGCACGAAAAAATGACAATGACAAC